TAATTGAAAAAAGTTATTATTAGTAAAAATTTTTTTTATAAAAGATATATAATAAAAATTTTTATATTTAAATAAATTCCAATACCTAGTAACTTAATTAAATAAAACAGAATTAAAATTTTGTTTTGAAAAAATAATTTATTGATATTTATTTGAGATATAAATCTTTTTATACTGATTTATATTAAATAATAATAAATATTTTATAAAAAAAATAATAAAATTATAATTATTTATTATAATTATTATAATTAAATAAAATATTATATAATAAATATTCATAATTGTTATAGTTACATTAATTTTCTGCTTGCTTATATTAGTCGTAATTCTACAATTATTACATAAAATCCCGATTTGAGCATGTGATCATAGTGGGAGTTACTATATTAATTCAAATGTTGCGGTCTTTCTAATATATGAAATTGATCAGAATATCTTTGATACAGCAGAGAATAAAACAATAAAAAGAAGGAGCAAGTCAATCTGCTAGTCAAATTACAAATAATACTGACTTCAATATTGAGGAGAGAAGAGAAGATTATGGAGAGAGTGAATCAAATATCTATTTATAAGTGTAATATTAATTTTAACAATAAGGAGCAAAGATAGGAGAAACAAGCAAATTTATTATTGATTTTGATTTTGATGATAGAGGAGGAAAAAAGTCATTCTGTGAATCAATTTGCAGATAATATCAATTTCGATGAGGGGAAAGGTTATGACAGATCATAGAATAATAATAAAGCAGGTTTACAGATACACGTATTCTTAATATAAATCTGGGTGGTAATCTTGAGAGTCTATTACACGTGCTTGAGATGGGTTGGTTCATGCCCACGGATTACGGTAATTTCTGTCGATTACAGAAAATTCTACTGTAAACGATATCAAAGAAAGTTAGAATTGAGATACTGTATATAAATTGCCTCGCTGTTAATTTTATTAATATTTCAAGCATCTCTGTATTTTTCATTTTTTTCACATTTTTATGTCGGATTTGGTTTATTCTTTTCCAAATTGTATCATTCTTATGGTTTCTGGGAAAAATCCGCGTATTCTTATTGCTATTGAATGATGTAACGTGGGGAAATTAGTAAATGCAGGCGAATCAAGAACGGGAATTTTGCAATTATAATTCATTGTGGAGTTCTAAATTCATCGCTTTCAGAGAATTTTTGACATAATTTCGATGTTTCGGTTAAGCATATTGCACCTTATATGATTCAAACATTTGTTGAAACTTCTTCCTGCAAATGTATACTGTGCAGTGAAATTGATTTCATTGTGAATTGAGGAATTTTAATAATATATCGGTGTAGTTTACACAGCTGTTGCAAAGCGTGAAAAACGAACCCAAGATGCTGCTGTTATTATTATAAAGATTAATTCTTAAAACTATAAATATATAAGACATTCTGTGTGTTATTTTCTTTTCTTTATTTTGGAAATAAAGATAATGATTTGTAAATTAATTACTGTACATACGTAAATTAAGAAAAGTGGATTAAATTTATCTTGGGAAAGCTTCGTTATAAATAATTCCAAGGAATCAAGTCATATTTCGTTGGTTCTTTTGTTTTCATCATAAAAAAGAAAATTTTAAGTTTTACCATATAATCGAAATGCTAAAGGAATAAATACACGGTATTTTTGAATTCATAGTTTTATGTTCTTAGAACTTGTGGCTAAATTATACAAATTGAGGACATAAAAATTGTTTTACAGAATTTGTTTTTAACGCTGCAGAAATTCATCACCTCCGACCTAAATACATGTATATGCAAATGTATATACTTGTTAGATACGAACGTATTTGTTCGTAATATATTTAAAAAAGTAGGTTCGATTTGATATCGACGCGCAGCATTCTATAATTCGTAGTAAATGAAGTGAACCTTTCACAAAGTTTATATTAAAGATAGCTAATCTTATACCAAAATTTGTTATCTGAACAGTATTGTAATCGTATCCTGATATTTTAATGAAGAGGTTAATAATTGAAAATACATGTATTTTTATAACTAATATAATGGAAATTTTTTGGTTTGAATAACATTGTTTCCGAAGTCACGAGCAAAAGGGAAAAGCTCGAAATAAACCATGTTTACATGTAATACATATGCATTCCAAATATGATTAGCTTGCATTTGTCATTCTTACATCATAATGCATTACATAGCATATTGCTTTTTTTGAAAAATGTGGGGATTATTACATGAATTAAACGGTTAATAATTTTTTTTGTTAATAATGGTAAGAAATGACGAGAGTCAAATGAAAGAAAGTTTTGATGCATATGTAATAAAATTGATTCAAGATTTGCTTTAACTTAATAATGTACCGATATCTTTGAAGAAAGTTTGTTCTATAATATAAAGAAAATTACAATATGCAAATAAAATATCTGGAATCAGGAAGTATACGTAATGAAATTAATTTGATTTTTGAAAACAGTAAATTAACACTAGACTAAAAGCATTCCATGATGGATATATTACATTACAAAAATTACAGATACAGTCAATTATTTGAAAAATTGTCCTATTGTTCCCTTTCCGATCTTCCAATTTCACCTCTAAATTTGTTGCATAATGTTTTCGTATTAAATATTTTCAATCTCAATTTCTTCAGGAGCACTCACTACCACCACATCTACATTGTCATTCGGTCGATTGACGCCACTACTACCATTTCTTCGATATGTTTCCATTTCCTGCATCAACCCTCTTCGCCACAATCTCTGTCCAGCCGCATCTCGAGAAAGATGTATCAATTTCTGTATTAAGAATGCACAAATTGCGATTCCTAGCAATCCAAAATAATACCCCGCTACTTTTTTTCCTCTCCTCCAATCTAAAGGTTCATATGGAAATGTATGATTGCTAAAAAATCATATAACTTAATAATTTATTTGAACAGAAAGAATATGATCAAAGGGATAATTTCTTACATCGCATAATTTATCCATATTTCAAATATGTAAAGAATCGGTACCGTTATGACGAAAATTAAATGTGACGAGACTAGTGGCATTCTACTCAATAGCACTTCAACAATCATCATGAAAAAATCAACACCATGCATCGAGTATGTGCGAAATTTTACAAGCCCCATATGTGATGAAGAACCGAATTCATCAGTATGAGTTTTAGCAAGAAAGGCCCAATAGACAAGTGGTATTACGATGCTAAAAATTTAAGTAAATAAACCCATCAATCTTTTTGTTTATAGGATTATATATAGAATGCTCTATGAAATCTTGCTTACTGGTTTAATACAATGGTATCATACAATAGCCAAAAAGCAATTGTCAGCATTTTTGGTTGAAGAACAAGTGATTTTGGCACATTATATCTCATAAAGACTGAGGAATGAACAACCGCCGTCTATAAGTAATACAAAAAGCTTTCGTTATTATTCTCTACGAGAATGAATATCAAAGTATACCATACCGCAAAATATGCTGTCAGCCCGATAAATCCCAAATTCGTATAATATGTCAAAAACAGATATAATTGACCATGTATGTCATAAAGATATATAGAGGTGGCCAAAGTGATCAAACTATAAATTAAAAAGATCGATCGTACTATTAAAAGTATCAATGGCGTTGTGAACCATGAAGTAACTGCTCTTTCTGGATGCTTTAATAATTTATCAAATTTCCATAATGATTTTTCGAGTTCAGGTGATGGTGGTGGCATTATATAAAGTGTCGCGTTAATTCAATGGATATTTGGAAAGATACGTATATAAGGTGATCGAAAGATTGAATTTATTTACGTACCGCCAAAATAATAAAAGGTTAGTGGAATTGGAAAATTTGGTTTCTTGCATTCTGCATAACGATTGTGTGTGAGAATAATGATATAATATCGATGTCAAACATGATGTGCATATCGATACGTAATTTGGGTGTAGCATTTCACAAATTAAGTGAGCATTTATTCTGAAATACGTACGTTCTCTTTTTTACGATTCTTGAATAAATATTGTAAGTACGCATTAACGCTTAAATACTGTAATATGAATTAATTGAATTATTACAAATATGGTAAATAAAGATAAAGGGTATGATAAATGTAGATGTGATTCAACACAACTGAAATTTCGCAAGCATCCACACAACAGAAAAGCTAAATTCATCATGCTCTTTGTAACTCAATCACAAATCAAGGTTAACAACGTTCGAATTTGGCTCCAACAATTCAAAGATTTCAGTGATTGTTTCGTGAAAAGTCGGATACGCTGCTGAATTTGCCGTGATATTTTTGAATCCTTCAGTTTGCCTAACCTCCCGGAAATGCTTAACCAAAAATTTCAATATATAATCCTTGAGTTCGGGATAACTCCAATCCGTACCAAACAAAGTCTCGGCTGCATTCGAGATACTTAGTTCATCAAAGATTCTTGTTTTCGCTCGTTGTCGAAGATCTTCAATGAGATATTTGTCAGCAACACGAAACATCTCCAATGAGCTTGTATGCGAGTCGGCTGCATTGTTAAAGGTGACTTTATTCGTATATAAGAATTTCAACATTTCCAAGAATGTTGTGTAGTGGAAATCAGTGACCTCGATTTTGAATCGATGATGATTCACTTTTTCCAATAGCAAGTCAGCACCCGGTTTCAAAGGTTGTTGTTGCTGTTGTTGTTGTTGTTGGTGAATTAGATAATGGTGATGAGGATTGTGATTATGATGATGCTGTTGTTTTTTAGAATCATGATTGAGGATAATTGGATCATCAACGTCGTGAGCCGCTATGGCCATTATACGTGCACTCTCCTGACCAAAATGAACTATGGTGGAAGAAGAAGGAGTTTCACTAGTTTGTGAATCATTAATTTTTGAAAGTGAAGACGTCGCTGTTGATTCTGACCATTTTCCACCAAACATTCGTTGAAAATATTCCGATCGCTTGGCAAGAATAGCACTATTAGCATAAATTGTATGGCCATCAACGTTAAATTCAACATCGGCAATTTGAGGCTCCGTTAATTGCGATTGCCAAGCTTCCAATAAATCTTTCGGTATAATTTCACCGGGTAAGGTAGCTGTGTGCCTAGAAAGACCTATTTCGGCTTTGTCAAATTCCACTCCAAGTATCACTGAATCATGCGACAACGCTGATTTTTTGCAGAATTTACGACGTCCTTTTTTTTAAAAACAAAATGAAAATCTATTTAAATATTTTAACGAGTGTTGTTCAAAATTTATTAAAATAAACTACGATACCCCAAGTATGTTCCTTTGCCGAATAATTATTCATTGTCATCGAATACTTGTCAATTTCAACGTGTGATATTGGGTTTTTGAGAAAAAGTCTAGCCGATAGTAATGATCTTTTAGCCCAAGCCGCTGTTGTATTGTCAGCTTCTTGTGGACTGGGAATTGCACCCAAGAATACAGAACAATATTCGTCATTTCCCTCGATGAACTTCTATTCTCTCGAAAAAATAAATCAAAAAAATTCCCATTTAATATTTTTCATTGAATTACCAAAAAAATCACAATTACATAAGTTTACCGGGTCAAATCTTAGCTGCCAAAACATGTGATTGGCCGTGGCAAACGGTGGCGTGTAAAGTGGTTTACTAAGTTTCGATGGATTTAATATGGTAAATTCAAATACACTTTTGCTCGTGAAGGCAAGGTTACTGTTATTTGTCGTGGTGGTGGTGGTGCTGTTATTGTTATTATTAGGACTATTATTGGGGTTGTTAATGTTGTTGTTAATATTTATATTCATATTTTCTGATGTTTGTTGAATTGATGAATAATAGAAAGTGTATCAGTTAAATGTGTTTGTGTATTAGATGTGTGTTGTCGATTATAAATAAAATTCTATGAAAGTGATTTGCCAACATGATTGATTAATCGATTGATGCGTCAATATTAATCATGTCTGATATTTCTGTATCAGAAGTAACAACGATGACATTTCGTTTTCACCGATAAATGTGTTATACGTATTTGTGATTTTTACGCAATATCTCGAGAGATATATGTACATATTCATGCCAAACATAATCGATCTGGGATGATTTGACTTCTCAAAAACAATCCAATTTTGGTATTTTTGGCTGGAGTTAGACCTGTTGTGTAACCATTCGAATACCAAAATTTAAATTCAACTGACTGCTTTCTAAAACCGAAACCACACACCTATATAAGCATAAACTAGTAAAGGTGAATTAATTTTACTTTCTACACTACTGTTACCACACAATTGAATACAGAATATTTATTAAAGGATACATAATAAAAAATTTTATTATTGTTGCTTTAACTATTTAGAAATACGCCATCGGACAACCCTGAATTTACCAGTAAAAATTGATTCTATATAAATATTTTTTATTTGTGCTGAAACAAAGATGATAACTTAAAGTTTACATATATTTTTCTAATTAAACCTGAAAACCCTATCATCTTTATTTAAAAAATATTTACCATATACTCGCTTGCGAAATAAAAGATATTATTTCGAAAATCGTATCCTTTAAAAATAGCTCGCCTGTTTTGAAATAACACCCATTGTATTTTTTTATTTGCAGAAATATAATTAGATTTAAATAAACCGATTAAATTATATCTGTACATATCGATATGGCTTGTTTTCGTTGCAAATACGGTGACATATAGTACGAAAGTTGAACAATAGAAAATGGTTATTTAAAACATGCTATATATAAATAAAACGGAATATATAATAAATACAGGTAATAGTTGACTGATTTTAAAAATACCCGGATTAGGAATAACGCACATGGGCGCACTCGAAATAACGCGCAGAGGTTCGAAACAACACGTTGATGGGCGAGTAATAATATAGAAAAAAATTTCAATTTTTTTATTAATAATTCTGGTATATAACTTGAGTTATTTACAGTCCGCATGGGATGCAATGGCGGTTAATTTTTTTAAAATTCAGATACGATTTTTAAATACAACTACACAAAAGAATTTATTATTAGAACGCCCTCTAAATAGAGCATCATACTCTAAAACATCAAAAATGATACATTTTCCTTCCATGTAAATGTAGGTTTGAATATAATTTGACATGTTAATAATCCATAAGAACTATTAATAATAATGTTATTTCAATTTTCTTTTCACATGTTTTACTATAAAATAATAAATATCGTTTCTAATACAATTCTTTTTTAAGTTAAACATTTTTACTAATGGGCAAAAACTTGTCGGGTTAGTAAAATTTTGCGTAATCGCGAGTCAATTGATGCTTTTCATTATCGATTCTGTATCACAATTATCAAAATTCTCCCAGGCTGATTTTCAATGGCTGGAGAATTAGAGTTTCATGAAAATTCAAGTTTTTTTTACACCAGTCTTTTAAAAAGAACCAATTATAGTAAAACTCAGAAGTATCCAACCATTTGTAACTTTTAATATTAAAATTTTTTGTTTAATTTATAATCCAATTATCAAAAAAATTAAATTTTAAATTTTGATCTTCAATTTTTTTTATATAAGATTATTTGTTGTTTCTATAAGATACTTAAATTTTAATTTATAAATTATCATTTTAATTGCACTTTGATAAATATTTTTTATTTATACAAATAATTTCAGTTCTCATTTAAATTTTGGTTATAGTAATAAAAAAACCTAGATTTGTAATATATTGTGATAGCCAAAGATAATGCATCAGAGAGTCAAATTTATTAATAAAACACAGTAAAAATTGAAATTTTTTCTAATATTAAACATATAATTTTATTAATAAATATTTTATTTTATATCAAATTAAAGTTTATAATCTATAGTTTAACATATAGTGCTTATTATAAATAATAAGAATTGGTTTTTTGATCACAAATTTCATGAATTTGATTTGTTCAGATTATGACTTTACAAATATGTAGATATGATATCAATACATAAAAAATATATATACCAATGATTTATTTTTTTCACTGTTTTCAATAACTTTATTCAGACTTTCTAATATTCTATTTACTAAATTAAGATACAGATCTGTAAAAATATCCTCCTATTCTTCTCTAATCAAATTATGTTAATATTCAACATTAATTATTTTTTTTAATTATTTTATTAATCCATTTCTTAACTCTCTTTTTTATAATAACCTATAGATTCTCTATTAGATTTAGATTAGAACTATAGAAGAGTCAGTCAAGAATTTTTGAAACTTGATGATAAAGAAAATCAAATATTTCTTTAGTTATATACTTTAGATCATTATCTTGTTAAAAGATCTAATATTTTGACATGATCTAAATATATTTTAAAAAGATAATTAGTTAAAATCTCAAGATAAAGTAACTTATCTATAAGAAATTATTTAAAAATCATGAAAATTTGTAAATATATTCTTTAAAATATTATTATAATAAATTATAATAAGTTATAATAAGTTATGATAAGTTATAGTAAGTTATAGCAAGCTTTAATAAGTTATAATAAGTTGCGACAAGTTACAGTAAGTTATAATAAGTTATAACTTATGATAAGTTATGACAAGTTATAATTTTTATTAAATTTTTTAATAAGTTATAATATATAATTATAATATAAGTATTATAATATATTAATTATAGCTATTATCTTTAATATATAATAACAATTAAAAATAATACAATATATAAATTTTTTACTAATTATAATTAGTAAAATATATAATTTTTCTTAAATATAGTAGTGATCAAAAATAATGCAATATTCAAATGAAAATTTTTAAATAAATATATCATCTTATAATTAAAAGTAACATAATTATTATTAGTATAATTAAATAATATAATCCTATAGTTTAAAATATTATCAATTCAAATAATTTTATTTGGTTAAATTTTTTATAATTACCAAATATATTTAATTTTTGATATGTATTATATTTGTTCTTTTTGAATAAAATAAAAAAAATTGATAAATAATCATCAAAATTCTAATTTTTTTATATTTTTTTTTAAAAATTATTTATTTTTAATTTAGATTATCATCTTGTATAGTTATCATAAATCTTTATTATATCAATAATTCTTTTTAGTATAGATTTAATAAGACAAATACATATCTTAATATCAATATTATTCTATATATTCTGAATTTTCTTTCATAAATTCTCTCTTCCTGAAATTAATTCCAGAAGATAGCATAAATAATAATCAATAATATTCTATAGATGTTTAATAGAATTAAAATCTGGAAATTATAATGATTAATTAAGAATATCAACTTTATTATCAATAAACTATTAATAAATTTTAATGGTAATATATTTGATATTATTATTCTATTGAAAAATAATATCATTTAATATATAACTAAAATTATTAATAGTTTCTAAAAGATTTTTTAAAAGAATTTCTCTATATAATGCATCATCTATTCTGCTATCAATCTTATAAAGATTATTAATTCTATAAGAATTAAAGTAATCCTATATCATTATTTCTCTATTATCAAAATTTAACAATAGGTTTAATATGTGAGCTTTTTAATAATTCTCTCTTTCTTTTTCAATAATACTTATATCTATCTGATCCAAAAATATTAAACTTTAACTTATCTGATCAGATTATTCTTGTTCAGTTTTCTTTAGTCTAATTTTTATACTTTTCTGCAAAATCAAGTTAATATTTTTGGTATTCTTTTTTCAGATATGACTTTTTGTATTTTATTCTTGATACTAATTCATAATTACTAAGTATATAACAAATAGTTGATGTAAAAATATTTATATTTTCAGTTTCATGAAAGTAATTTCAAACTTCAATAGCTATTGAACATTTATAAAAGAGAATAAGATTAATAATTTTTCATTCTAATTTTTTATTTATCATATATAGATATCCAGATCTGCCAGCATTAATAAGAATATATTTTTTCTATCATCTTTACTTAATATAGATAATAATAAAAGTACTAATATTTTATCTTTATACTATTTTCCTAACATTATAATCTTTCTCAAAAGCAATAAGAATTTCTGCCCTTTGTTTCAGTATAGTATAATATTTATTTTTTTTGTGTATCCTGAGAAGCTATTTCATTATAAAAAAACAGATCAATAAAAAAATATCTATTTAATTGCATTTATATTAGTCTTAAATATATAATACTGATTAATACAAAAAATATCAAAAATAATATAATATATATTTCATAAAACTTATCTATATATTTTGTGATTGATAGCTAAAAAAATTAAAAAAAATAAAATTATATTTAATTAACTATTAAATTATCATAATTAGTAATTTAATTTAAATTTTATTGATTATTTTTTGAAAATAACTAAATTTAAAAATTTTTACTCATGTATTACATTATTTATAATTATTACTATAAAATTTTTTAATTTTACTAACAAATGTTTTTTATTTTTTAGTTCAAAAATAATTAAAGTTCTCTAATTTAATATATAATTTTTTTAGAATTTTTAGATTTTTTACTAATAACTTCTTCTAATTACATATAAAGTTAATTAATTTTTATTAATTATTAATTAATAAAAATTAATTAACTTCATATATAAATAAAAGAAGTTACTAGTAAAAAATCCAAAAATTCTAAAAAAATATATATTAAACTAGAGAACTTTAGCTAATTTTTGAGCTAAAAATAAAAAATATTTACTAATAAAATTAAAAATTTTTATATATAAGAAAAATTATATATTTTACTAATTATATATAAGATTATTTTATTAATAATTATAAATAAGATAAAATATAATATAAATAGTTTTAATTTTATAATTTATAATT